AGCTTTATTATGTATGTACATCTGTACAAACAGAGCGGGCAATCGTTATTTTCAAATACGTGATTAACTTAAAAGCTTTTAATTGTTCATCGTAAGATCTGGGTCAGCTTAATTGTATGACTCAAATCATACAACAAACACTCGACGTGGAAATCTCTTAAGAACATAACAAATAAATCGCAATATAACTTTATTAAGCGAGGAAAACATTTATTATATTTTATTTCATCATCATCAACCTGCCCTTATCCCTACAGAGAGTCGGTACTATATGTACTACTCCTCCATACATCTCTATCAGCCGTGATATCTGAATCTATCCCCTTCCTACGTATAACCTCTTTCACATATGTAATCCATCCATACTTTCTTTGATCTTTCTCTACCTTTGTATCCATCCACATTCAATCTAATTAATTTTTACATTTATTAAATTTTATTTACAGTATAATACGAACTATTTGCAATATATTTGCCTTTTAAGAATAACAAATTCATATATTCAAAGATGTTTCTAAGTTCAAAGAGGTTACGTACTTTCTCATTCCATTTACTAATAAAAACGATTATCACAGGTCAATTGTTGTTAACCTTGTCAAACGCTTTTATTACGTATTCATATCGAATAACATTATTTCTACAAAAATATGTTATTTGTTTATAATATAATAGTAGAATTATTTTATTTTACGACATTCTATCGGCCTACGCAATGCCCTCGATTTAGGTTACAATATTTATTCCACTACCAACAATTCTTACGGGGTGTTTCCACTGGCATACAAAAACAGTGTTCATGTACATATTTCAACAGTGGAAACGCACGTTACATGTGCAGTCGTTTTATTTTCTACAAATTGTTACAAAAAAACACTGGCCTTAGTAAAATATCAACGTTTATGTCCCCTAATCAATCTGACACTTGACTTGGTGACGAAAACGCGCCATTCGCGCCAAAGAATTCTAACTAATAATGTCTAAAATATAGACATTTATTTCATTCCTAATATATTTTATAGTTTTTTTTATAATTTAATTACATAAAAGTATCTTGAAATGACTTATCAAAAATAAAACAGGACTGACAAAAGAATGTAAAGATTTCTATCTTACAGTTATAAAAATGTGTTCAAATTTCCCTTTTAATATAAGATTGTTTAGTTGTAAAATGTCATAAAGTTTTAATAATTATAATAACGTTAGCTATTCGAGTCAATTTCATATACAAAATGCTTTAATTACAAGCGGCAATCAAAAGACACCGCGCCGTATGATATTATAATAAACTTTGTTTTCATTCCACCGAATAATTTGGAACGTTCCGTTTCCCCGTTTTGTAAATCAAATTCATTTCTATCTTTATAAATTATTTAATTAAAAAAAATAACTGCTCCCGGAATTAAACATTAATTTAATAATGTTGAGAATGTAAAGATGTTATTCCGCGAACCACTTACGAGAATTTGGAACCTAGCTCATTTGTTTTCCTTTCTAATTTGCTTCCAACTAAAGATGAAAATAATTAAGATTGTAACAAAAAGATTACCTTAAGATTTGTTTTTAATAATATTAACAGCCATTATTATTAATTTCATTTTATATCAGATATAAATTATTTATTAACATTTTAATTTGTTAACACAAACTAAAGTTTGTCTCCAATCAACATACTAAAATCTTTATGTGAGGAATTTAGCACTGTTAAAGATTTAGAAACCCTCATTTATTTAATTATCATTCTAACAAAGTTTATTAGCTCAAGAACATGCAAATACGCCAAACAGTACGTCAAATTTTATTGCGTCGTTTTCGCACATAGCTACCACCGACACTTACATAATAAATCTGTCTTTAGTCTGATAACATCACAATCTTGGCTTCACGAAAAGCTAAAAGGCCATTTATAGGGACATAAATGTTTATAGAATCATAAAGCACAAGCAATCTATTGTCTCCGGCCGGCCTACGCCCGCCGGCGACATAACTAATCGAGCTATTCCGCTTTTTGTCTTCACCGGACGCATAATCAATTGTCACCTCGCCTTTGAATATTTTCCAAGCTCCACCCGCGATGTCTCTCATCCATTTGGAACTGGTTTGGGGACAGCACGCACTCTATAAACGATCGAGTATCGTATTGCCTGAGAAAAAAGGTGATGAGTGGACGAGTTAGAACATGGCCGGCGCGAATAGAACGTAAGCTCCGACGACGATTCGATATACTTCATTTATAAATCCTCAAGAGAATTCAAATAGCGGATAGCTGAGTGTATCTGAATGTATGCGGTGTTGTATTACAGCCGGCGTGTTTGAGATATTTGCCGTTTCAAGTCAATAAACACGCGATGAGAGAAAGTGGGCGACGTAAATCAATACGAATCAAATAAATCTATATTATCTCTACTATCTCGAGATAATGGATAAATATATATTAAAATCTATTCTTTTTATTTGTAAAACATGAATAGGTATGTTTCAAACTCCAGACAAATAATATAGAAATATTGTTAAACCCAATTTACTTGTTTTAAACAACCTTTGTCAACTCTCAAAGAATACAATTTAAATTTAGAATAAGCCCGAAAAAAACCTAGGTGATACTACAAACAAGATATCGTGGAATCAGTAGCAACAGGAATGCTAACGGTGTGCAATAAATAGACCTGACTCCGGAAGCTATAACAATGCTTTAACCTTTGCATCTACCGGTCTAGGGTCGGACAACTGATTGTCCAGTCTATCAAATACGTAAGCCAACTTGACTTCCACGAAATTCACAGTAGGTGGTCAAGTCATTAACACTAATTGCGAATCATTGACAATGCTACGCAAAAAGAAAATGATCAATTCTTTTTTCGATTTATTGCAAACAATATAAAATTATTCACAAGCTATTTCGACTTAAGCTAACTCTAGCTGGCTCTATTTCGGCGAATTAAGGGGCAGCTTACTCGTTTGCCACCTTATTATAATTAAAAAAAATAACATGCAAAACATATGTTTTTGTATACAGATAAATAGCGGTCGCCCGCGACTCCGTCCGCGCGGAATTTAAAAAAAAACATAATTAGTAGCCTATGTGTTCCTTCAGATTATGTTATACATTGATGCCAAATTTCATAGAGATCAGTTCAGCCGTTCTTAAGATTCCTTCAAAATAACATCCATCCATCTAAACATTCGCATTTATAAGTAAATAGTAAGATTTCGTTATTTATCTTTTAATGAGAGTGAATAGAAGTTAGATAAGCCTAAAAGGTTAATACATTTTGAAGTCTTAACATTTAAAACTTAATCGGTAAAGTTTTTTAAACATCTGTTAATTAATTTAATTCAATGAAGCGCTAAACCATAAAAACCTTAATAGCAAACCGCCTCGAAATATTTTAATTATATAAAAAGTAGAGATTTAATATGCATTCTTCACTCTTGCATTGTCGAAGCTCGCCATGGGACCTATATCTGAAATCACCATCTCGATTATTCAGTTCGTAAAGTATAAATATTGAAGGTTTTTATCGAAGCAACTGAACCACAGTTGACGTACCGGGTAAGATTAATGCGAATCTTTGGACATGCGCCGCTTTATTCTACATATTCACAATGCCTTCGTGTTTTGTAAAATAATTCAACTCTTTGTGTAGTGGAAAACTACAAGATCAACATGAACACTTTTAACCGTGAGTTTCTGAGACTGAAATCAAAATATTGGTACCCTGTTATGTCAAAGATAATGACATATAATGACTACATGTTTTATACAGATAGCCACGGTAAGCAAAATAATGAAATAAGAAAAATTTACAAACAAATTTAAATTAAAGTGAAAGCTCTGATACCATACCATACATACATATTAAAACTATTGTAACTTTCCTTTGCTATACAGTTTTTTTACGTAATATTAAAATGTTAGTAAATATTTACGAATGAAAGTGTGTATAAATAATTTTAAAAAGTTTAGGCTAAATCATGCTCATGCGATCTACTCATTCTAGAACTTTTATCTGAATAAATTAAACATAAATTATTTAAATACATATATTGCAAAAATATTTTTAATTAACATACTATGTTGTAATTAGTTATGAGTACGGATGATTTTTGACTAAGATTAATAGGCGTGAGCGTAATAAAATCAATTGATCTACGTGCGCAAGAGACTTTAAATACTAAGAGACAGTGAGGTGCAATCAAAAGTCAATTAAAGTGGTGTTTATTCATCTTCGGTGAGCCGTACAATGATTTATAGTAACGCAGCGGGTACGGGGCGGCCACTGTCGCGGTCGCTTTTTAAATTAAAATCGTACAGAGAGCGGCGTGATCTTATCCCGATCGATCAATTTAGATAAAATAAATATTTATACGTCTGAATGTGGATGGGCGAATAACGCGTTTCAGTAAATTGATTATGTCTATTATTATTTTTTAAGCCGCACACTTCATAGTCATTATGATTTCATTATGATGTATCGACAATTTGTTTATAATGAACATATTGTGTATCGAAATTAATATTTGCTACGTATGTTTTTATGAGTTAATTATTTAGGATAAATTGTAAATTATGTTTGAGAATATATTTATATTATTATCATTTGGATATGTATTGTGTAAAATATGAATTAGCAAGCAAACTATTGGTGAAACAGGGATTCGAACCCATAGTCATTTAGAAAAGAAAAAGTCTTTAACGAATTAATAGTTACTTATCAAATAATTTTTACTGATTTTGAAAATAATCAAATAACAAATTCTAAGAATTTTGACTGTCACATGTTTTGTGTGCCGTTTGTAATAGCAAGATAAGGATTGAGTGCAAATAAAAGCAAAAATAGTAGATAAAAATATTAATTTATTTTATACTCTCGTTTGGAAGCGTAATAAATACGATTTTTTTCATGTTCTAGCTAAAAATTACATCACAAATTATAAACTTACATTTAGAAACCGCTATTTACAATTGACTAGGGTACATTTCAGTTCTTCAACAGATTTATATTTACATATTTCTTACAACATAAAGTACCTTTTGCACTGTTCACTTTAAACATTTCACAATACTCTAAGTAAGTACCTAACATTATCACAAGTTAATCATAAAATCCTTTGTGTAAACAGGACCATGTATCAGGAACCTTCCTATGTCAGTAACAATACATAATGTTAACTTATACATGGAATGCAATATACTTAATTAAATATTTGTGCAAGTAAAGGCTAGAGAGTCTGTTGTCATTTGACAGGTACCGTTATTTTTTAAATGCATGTCATTACATATTCATTTAGTACTTACAGTACTATTTTAAAAACGAAACATTATCTTTTAAGTCATCGTAACGTATCAGCACCAACATAGAATATTTCGATTCGACATAGTTTTTACATTTACAAGAAAAATTAACGAACAATATTACATACAATTTACACAATGATACAAAAAATAAATCACATTTTAAGTTTTTAAACGAAATAAGTCTTTCTTACATTAGCGGGCCGCGTGTTAGACATGGGTATCTGTTGCGCGGGCCGGAGCGGGCGCTCCTCGCACTGGTGGTTGTCTATGGAGACGTAGCTGTGGTGGTGCGGCAGACGGTCGTCGGGCCGACCCTCACTGCTCGCCACCGAGCACGTCTCGTCCTCCGTGCTGCGCGCCGACACCTCGGCACTCGCGCTAGTCGAGTGCATGGGACTCGACATCATCAGGATCGGAGGCGCCATGCCGTACTTGTACCACGGATCCTGAGACGTCGGCGGCGCTGTGTACCTCAGGTTACCGTGACGACCGAATGCCTCCCTATTACTAGTTTTCATATTATTAGCGTTATGAAGCGTCCGATTAGGTAACGTCACGTCCACGTCAGGCAACCGAAAATTTAGTTTTTCCCAACAGTTTTTCTCCCCCCACACGATCACTGTACACGTTTTGAGCAACACTTTTAAATCTGGATCGATGTTTATGGCACTCAAGTCCGTGGTTACAAGGAAAATTATCTTTTGACGTCTATGCCTAACGTTCACTGAATTTATAGCACTTTGAATAGCCGCCTTTGATTCTGGCGAGTACCATTCTTGTTCTAAAAAGTTTATAGATAACACAATAACAAGTCTTTTGGAACTTTCCGAGGCACTGGATAAACTATCGCCGGATCGTCTCTCGATCAGTTGCAAGTCCCTATGCTGGAGGCACAAAGAATGACCCGAATTCTCTAATTCCGAACTCACCGCACGCGTCACAAAGTCTTCGTCTCGTGGATTATACACAAAGAAAGCGTCGAAGCGTTTATTTTTGTTATCGTTCATGTCCTTTGAGGAAGAACTGAATACTCTAACACCGTATTTAGAATGCATCCATAATTTAAAATCTTCCCGGAACATGAACAGAAAGGCGCACATCACTAAAAGTATGATTACTATTATCAACACGACTGCAATATATGGAATGTAATTTTCGACGCCATCATTCGTTTCGATGAATAATCGTTTTAGAGTCTCGGTCCCGGTCTCTTCTGTGGTAGTCTCCGTTTTACATTCCTTCGCTACTGTCGCGATAGTTTTATTCATTGACTGGCCGTGAGCAAAGTAACACATCATGGTTTCGGTATCTTTCGATTTCTTTATAAGCCATTGATTCAGCTGGGCCACATCTTTACAATCGCATATCCAGTTGTTGCCGTCGACGGAGACCCGCGTGCGAGGATTATTATCTGTAATGACTCTCCACGGCATGTAATCAACGTAACCGTTATTTTCAAGGTTCAGATATTCCAGCGACGGCAAGTAATTAAATGTATCATTCTCTATCACCTTTATTTTATTTTCGTTCAAGTAAAGTTCATTCAGATTCGGAAGCCGAGTAAACTGCGTATTTCTAAGTACTTCGAGTTTATTATTTTCTAAGTGGAGTACTCTCAATGATTCGATGCCGTTAAACGTTCTATTTTGTATTGTGTTTATATTACTGTTATTGAGATAAAGAACTTGCAGTCGTTTTTTACCGATAAATACGTGATTTCCTAATTCTTTCAAGTCGTTCCCGTCCAAATAGATTTCGGTCGCGTCCATCGGCATTCTGTCCGGCACGTGATCGTAGCCGGCGTTCGAACAATACACGACGTTGGAGTTCCAGGTGAGATCATGATAACACGTACAATTATCTGGACAAGTCATCTTACAATCACAAGCATCAAAGTCACAACAATGGCACAGGGTGAAGCAGTGTGAATCGTACTTGCACAAAAATTCCGACGACTTCACTTCGAGTAGAAACACGCCCAACTTATTTCGTGAGTGTGTCAAAGAGCACCTTACGCTTTCTAAATCCATTACTCTCGGCCGCTGTCTGAGATCGCTTAATTGGTTAATTCTCTGCAACCATTCCATTGTGCAGTCGCAATCGAATGGATTCTCGCTGATATAAAATTCGGGTAGATCTTTGTCTTCAGATACAGCTGATATAGCAAACGCACCAACTTCTAAAGTTTTTATCTTGTTTGAATAAAGAATCACTTTGTTTAGGTTATACTTTTGTAAAAATGTACCCGGATTTATGTCTTCAATGTGATTATTGTTTAAAACAATGGTCTCTACGCTGCTAGGGAAAGAGAATTCGTCGAGACTTCTTATTTTGTTGTGACTTACATCGAGCATTTTTATATTGCAAGATTCTTTTAATCCGTACGTGTCTTCGAGCTTTTCAATTTTGTTCTCGTGCATGTCTAGCCATTCGACGTTCGTGGGTATGTAGCTGTAGTCGAACCAAAGCAACTCATTGTTTGACACATTTAACCAAACGAGGGGTTGCGAGTTAGTAAATATGCCTTTTAGGTCGACTAATTTGTTTCCATCCAAACCTATTGCTTTTAATTGCTGATTAGAGGAAAAAGCTCCATCGTCAATTTGATCAATGTTATTTGAAGCCAAATTTAATATTTGTAGTGACGGCAAGGCAACGAAAGTATCCTTAGAGATTTTCTCAATCTTATTCCCGACCAGCCGCAGCCCATACAAGTCATCTAAGCCTTCAAACTGCGAAGTCGTGACTTTGGTAATTCTATTCATGCCTAAGTCTAGAGATGTTAAAAATCTAAGCGTCTTTATGGCTTCCGGTACCTCGGTCAACTGGTTTCCACTGAGGCCCAAATCGTGCAGCTTTGTAATATTTTCAAAAGAGCGTAAGTCTATCTTCGTTATTCTGTTACCATCGAGGAATAACTGGTTTAATACATATAAGTTTGAGAAATGACCGCTGTCCACTTCGATAATGTTGTTGTGAGCCAAAGACAGCGAGTGGAGGTTCTTCAAATTTGAAAATGCACCGTCTGCTATTCGAGCGATGTTGTTGAATTCCAAACTTAAGAACTGAAGATTGTTTAAATCTTGAAATAACAGTGCGTCTATCTTACTTATTTTGTTATGTGACAAATTCAAAACAATGAGACGCACCAATCCCGAGAATGTATCGCGGTTGACCCACTCACTCGTCAACTCGTTGACTGACAAGTCTAATATCTGCAGCTGATCGAGTCCTTCAAGCAATCCAGGTGCGAGCACGCTGAGAGAGTTATTGTTTAAGTATATTTGTTTTATGTCCCGAGACGATTGAAACATCTCCGGCGGCAGCGCCGTCAGTGCATTGGTTGATAAATTAAGTATCTGTAGATCACTCAAACCGACGAATGCACGATCTGCCACTGTTGATATCCGGTTATCTTGTAAAAATAGTTTTTGGAGAGCGCGTAGACTCGAAAGACCGTTATCTGGCAGACCACTTATTTCATTTTGGGACATATCTAACGTCTCCAGTACAGTATTACAAGATTTACCTGGCGCAGTAGGCCCGTTGCCCCAGTCCGAGAATCCTAAGTTCGATATATCCTGTAATCTGTTCTGCGTAACGTTTAACTCCTTTAAATTGTATAGAGGACAAAATATCTCCGACGGGAGTACCCATATGTTGTTATCACCCAAGTCTAAAATTCTAAGGTCGGTAAGTCCTCTGAATGTATCTCTGTGGAATTCCATTGACATAGCGGACCAATCCGTGTTGTGTGTGCGTATACTCAGGGTGCGTAAACCACTTAGCGGCGATAATACCGCCGACGGGACGTATCGGATCTTACAGGATTCTATACGCAATTCTTTTAAGTTGTGGAAACGCGACAACAGTTCAGTTCCTTCTTCTTTTCTTCTTCCGACGTCAAGGGAGCTCTCAAAGAACAATACGTCAGTGCAATGCAAGTCGAGCGCAGTGATGCGCTGCGCCTGCGAGGCACTGAGGCCGGCCAGCAGGTCCGTGGCGCCGGCTGCCGTACGCAGCGAACATGCCAGCTGCACGCGCGTGGGCTCGCCGGGTCCGCCCGACACGCGCTGCCACTCGCACTCCTGAGGCGCCTCCGCCACGCGGCTCGTCAGCGCTGCGCCGCCCGCGCCTGACCGTAGCCCGCACCACACAGAGTACCACAACAATAATACAGTCGCTTGCATTTTGTTTACTTCACTTTTAAACGTCACTTAATTCAAACGATCGTCACTAGAGGGGCAGGTGTCGTCGCGCACATCGCACCGCTAGTCCAAAGGCGCTCGGAAAACTTAACGAATTTCCCGTCAAACTTGTTTCGAAGTACGTCCCATAACGGACGCGTTGCATTAACACTGATCACACACCGGTCTCGGCGACGCGCGAGAAGCGACTGAGTGATTCGGAGCGCGTGGAGTTGAGCGACCGCCGGCTCCCCGCGCGGTCGCTCCTCCCCCGACAGGGAGGTCCGATGAGGCGGACTCTCTCCGCTCAAAAGTTCACAGCGGCAACAAGTTGCCCGCCGCGAGATTGGCATGAACAGGAGCGCGCTTAGCGAGCTTTTATAAACATGGCGCTGCTTACTTTGTTTGTTTTGTTTAATCGGTAAATGTCAATCGAATATTAGCATAAGAAAAAGTTTCAGGTAGTACTGACATCTTCACAATAATGTGTTTATTAATATAAAACTAATTTAAACACAATATCGAAGTGCATGAGTAAAAGGTCACTAGGTTTCCAAAAACCCACTTGCGGACTCTTAAATATTTGTATAGTCACTACCCGCTACCCCTTATTATATGAAAGTTTATTAAATAATATCAAATATATTTTTACCTACCTAAGAAGTAGTAAGTTTATAGTTGTATATTGGTAAGAAGTATTATTTATTTTTAACTGCCATTTTTATAAAGTAGGTACGTTAAAAGAGTTCTATTTTATATTTTTATTATAATTAAACAAAAATACATAATGATACATCTAGATGTTAAATTCCAACGGACAATATTCAAATCACTTACTTACTACGTAAATTTTTAATTCTTTTAGATCCGTTGAACATTTCTTATCTATAGCCGGATGACCCCAAAAGTAATATTTACACGTTCTCTTGACGATTTTTTCACTTCCCGCAAAATTCTTTTGTTTTTTAATCTACATCTACCTGTGACCGTGACGCATAACTGTTGCGATAACTCGTAGCTTATCTGTGCACTTGTCAAATTACTCACATAATGACATCATCAGCTAAAGTGGTCCCGTCATGTCCGTTCTATCACAAATATGTCAAATATCTTGTATAAGTCGAAGTGTCAACATTACTGATTACTTTGAAACTAAACAAATCACTTTGTAATTAGTCACTAAATAGATAAGTAGGCGGTAGACAACCTAGTGGTGATGTTAGCACTGCTAAGCAATTATACAAAATTATATTGCTATCTCTACTTTTTATAATCAGAATGCAAGGGATGACAGATAGGTGTGCAGGCGGAAAAATAATCATTTGTGTTACCGTGAATTTCTGACAACACAATCACTGTCTATCTCATTATCTTTGACAAAACCGAGATATATGTTTTAAGCGGAGATGTCGGTTTCAGAAACTCACAATAATCTACGTTAATACCTACTGATAAATTAGAAACTATGAAACTCCAACTTAAGTAAAAGTTTAAATATTCGAGTTTCAAGTGGCCGCAGTGTCGATGAGATATTTGACACCAGCGCTTTCGTTCGTGTATTATATTTCAGCATGAGACCGCTTTAATTTTGTACGCTAATTAAGGAGTTAGGAACATTGTTAGTGTAGTTGTAACACGCTCGCGAAATATTAAGTTGTCTCGTCAGACGCGGCGCGGAATATCGCGAACGACAACTAAATACTGAAAGCTTCGACTTAATTAGAGAGAATGAGAATAACAACACAAGTATAGATGTTAGTTACATGAGCTTAATTTAAATAACATATAGATACAACTTAACATAATCATATTTAATTTATTTACCAAATTATTAATGAATTCAGTGTCTTTATTATTCACAAGCAGTCGCCCGCGACTCCTTCCTCGCGGAATTTAAGAAAGTGCAGCCGTTTTGGAGACACCTTCTAAGAAGCATCCATCAATTCATCCCTATAAACATTCGCGTGTATTAGTAAGAAGTACGATTAGTCGCCTTATGTTTTACATTTTTAGAATCTTATAGACTGACAAACATATCTGATCCGGTGGACATAAGTCAAACTAAAATTATAAGCTCAAAAGCGCCACCTGGTGATGTTAAAACTGCTACAAGGTCGTTTTAGTTTCGTTAGTAGCTGTGTTTTATTTTTTATTTTGGTGACAGTACTGACCAGGATAGCAGCACTTCTCTTCTCGAACCTGATATCGTTGTATATTACAAATTTAATGAGTTGAATTAAAAGAACTTTAACCGTGAGTTTCTACAACAAAAATACCCATTTGAAACATATTGTTATCTCTGTTTTGTCTAAAATAATGACAGGGATGACGATATGTTTTATACAAAGATTTTGGTATCAAAAACCCAATGAAAATCTTCGTTTATCGTTCATAAAATAAGATAGATTGCCAGTGCGGCGTCAGTATTTCCGTTCAGTTGTTTCATAATGACGTGAGTATTTTGTAATGAATAACAAAGTTAAATGTTGTTTGAATTAACTCTTAAGATTGTCTAAGATTATGACCATCATAGCTAATTACATGGCAAATTAATTTAGAAAATTGCATTTGTCAATTCTAATCATTCAATCAATTCAAATTGTTTCATGTTGTTCACATACTATGAAATTATGTGCTGAATAATTATCCTATCAGTTTAGGATACGCTTCGCGGAACATAAGCTCGTTGATTGAACTAAAAGCTGAATACTTAGTTATAATATTTAAAGGATTTTTGTACAAAATACACTACATAAGGAATACATCATAATATAACCTTTAATATTGGAAACATTAATAATTTACTTAGGTATTTATTACGCATTTTATCTCACTATGTTTTATCCGCATGTAATTGAACTGGTCAGGCGAGATCTGTGGTAAGTGTTTACTGTAATACATAAGTAATAACACAAAAACATGATGAATTATAAGTTGTATCTTATATAGGACACGGCTCCGATGATATCACCAATAGGGTGACCAAACTATTTCCAGCTACTATATTACAACTTCTTGTTGCTATATATAACGTGGCAATGACCAAAGGAGTTTTTCCCACCGAGTGGAAAGACGCCGAAGTCATAGGGTTCCTCAAACCCTCTAAGCCACCTACAAATCCCACCTCGTATCGCCCCATCAGCCTTCTCAAAACGTTTGGGAAGATTTATGAACGCCTGGTTTTAGCCCGCCTTCGCTCTTTTATGGAAACGAAAGCCATGCCCATTGCCGAACAGTTTGGATTTCGCGCCAAACATTCATGCACTCATCAAGTGCACCGCATCACGGAGTACATTCTTTCCAAACGCCAACGCGGCCTTAACACCGGAGCTCTCTTTCTCGACGTAGCAAAAGCGTTCGATAAAGTATGGCACAACGGGCTCATATACAAGCTATATGAGTACGGAGTACCCGACCGTCTCGTATGCATAATACGAAATTTCCTAAGTGATCGCACGTTCCGCTACCGCGTCGAGGGAATATGTTCTCAATCGCACCCCGTTCGAGCCGGGGTGCCTCAAGGGTCGGTGTTAGGGCCGGTCCTATTTACGCTCTACACCAACGATATACCGCGCGTACATGGTGTAGAACTAGCATTATTTGCCGATGACACCTGTATTTACACGTCTGGTCGTAAGCCCGAAGCTATTTGTCGACGCCTTCAGACTGCAGCCAACACCCTTGGTGCCTGGTTTCGGAAATGGAGGATCGAAATAAACCCTACCAAAAGCGCGGAGCTCTACTTTTCCCGCCGAAAAGTGACTCGTCTTCCATCCGTCACACTCATGGACAGCCCAATACCATGGGAAGACAAAGTTAAATACTTAGGTGTCATCCTGGACTCTAAACTCAACTTCTCCGCACACGTAACCCGGGTTAGAAACCGCGCGGCTTTTATACTAGGTCGTCTTTCCGCATTACTCAATAAAAAGAGCAAAATGTCCCTTCGGAACAAGGTGACACTCTATAAATCAGTAGTACGTCCCGTCATGACGTATGCTAGTCCGGTATTCGCGCACATAGCTCCGAAACAAATACATCGACTTCAGGTGATTCAGAACAGATTTTTACGTAGAGCCACGGGAGCCCCGTGGTACATGCGCAACAGTGATCTGCACATAGACTTGGACTTGTCCACCATAGCCCAGCACCTGAAGTTGGCGTCGCGTCGTTATTTTGACTCCGCCGTCGGGCATCCTAATCCGCTAGTTGTAGGTGCCGTCACCTACAATCCAATCGCGCTCGGTAAATTTCGCCATGATTATCGTAGACCTAGGCACGTCCTCGACTTTCAAGATGACGCAACTACCATCGCTCAGGCTAGGGTTAAACAACTTCGCAGTCACACCACACATCCCAGTCGCTGCCGGCTACGGCAATCATTCTCGCGATATGGCCTCATAGCAGGCAGATTTTCACCTGTCAACGATAGAAGCGTAGCTGGAGTTTCTTCCGCCACTTCTTCTCCCAGCGCTAACGCTTTCCGAAGTGGTAGTAATATTAGATGCATCAGAACTAATAATAATCAGGAAACAGCAACCGATCAAGCCGAGGTTCGGCCCCCTCGGGCACCCTTGAATCGGAATGCTAAACGCGTATCGAGTGACAGCCCAAGCCGAGGTCCCCTCTCGGGGGCCCTTGAGCCCCGTCACTCCATGGAGCGTCCACCGAAGCGACCTAAGAGCTCGGCGGCCTCCCAATCCGGTAATAATAACGAAGTAACGGCCCGAGCCGAGGTTCCTGAGGGAGCCCTCGAGCTTAGTTACTCTTAAACGAGGTTTAGGCTAAGTGCCATCTGCGCTCGGCCACCTCAAGCCCGGTGAAGCTGTAAATGCCTCCTCAAGGCAAACAGTGGCAATCAGTCACAAAAATATATATATATATATATATATAGGACAAGTTGTATCTTTCAATTAATAAAATGAATTAATGTTCGGAAATTAAAATTTATTAAGACAAAATTTTTGCAATATCAATCAGGGTTATTTGTCGTGTGCAAAAAATAGGGATGTGCTTTTATTTATCGATAATTCTTATCGTAATAATCTTTAGGAAGTTGTCACTCGAGCGCAGTGCCGCAAAACGCATTGATTAGCGCTCTCGGCGGCTTCACACAAAAATTCATCAAAGTTAACTGATCAAAAGGAATGCTCTCTTCTTTCGAGTGCTTCCATACTTAACGTAACCTCGAGGAC